CTGAAAATTTGCATATTTTTGAGGTCACCGACAGCCGAACGGTTTTTCTCGGATTTCTCGGAATTTTAACGGTTTTTGGAAAACAAACCATATCACGTTTGTTTACTTGCTAATGCCTTCCAGCAAACCAAAAATGAGCAAAATCGAAATTTTGAATGTGTCCGCGAATTCTCGATTTTGCTCCATTTTAGTGGACATCTAATTAAAATTGTTTCTCTCACGGGCGTCTACACTCTCCCCTCCTTCTTGAATGTCGTCTCTGACATTTTAGATCTGTATCTTCTTAACGCAACTGTTCCAAGTTATAAGTATCCTTCACAATTGAGACACTCGGAACGTACTCTCTCTGGTTTCAAGACACTATAGATCCTAAATACGTAAGTTACCTTTTGTATCAAGTACAGTGAAATCCTAAATTAATCAAATGTGGTTTTTTTACATAAATGTGAATGTTTAATATGTTTGCTTGTTCCTCTTTGTCTTCTAATACGTTGGGTAGTAACCAAAAGGCGGTGGTGATATCATAGGGTTCGTCACTTGTGCGTGGAACATGGGATTCTGTATTAGATTCATCCACGGTACTGGTATCATCGGAGGTTGTATCGGTCCAATCCAAGGTGGGCATAACCACGGATCTCGTATTCGAACTAATCCCACGTTAGGGTCTTGCCAAATGAAAGGAAATTCATCCCTAGGACAGCCAGATGCGTTGTATCCAAAACGTAACGGTGGCTGTCTTTGCCTTTGTGGACTAACTGGTTGCGGCGGTGTTTCTTCGACATCACCCGGCGTTTCCACCTTTCTTCTACTTGTATGATCAGCCTGTTCTCTTCATTTTCATTACCATGTACTTCCCTACTCTGGTTAATATCGCCATTTGTACTTGGGTCCACTGTCGCGTCGTTTACCGAGTCTGGTCGTAAACTTAATTGTACAAGTTCGTCCACTGCGTTTGGAGGCAGCGACAGTCCCTCCGAATCGGATTCTGAATCCTCTGGGGTGTGTAAAATCGGGGTCTGTTCTTTCACGTTCACTACCCGCTTCGTCTCTGGCGTTGCTGTCGGTAAATTATCACAAGGTAACAGTAAATTTCTGTGCAACGTGCGTATCTTTCCCTTTCCTGATTCTGGTTTGATAAACAGGACTCTCGGGATTGTTCCTCGATACCACTACGTGAATCTCCTCTTCCCAGAACGCTCGTATTTTGCCTGGACCTCCGCGTGATGATAGGTTCCGAACAAGCACTTGGTCACCAGGTAAGAGGACAGTCGACCTTATGCGTTTATCGCTCTGCTTCCTTCCCTTAGACGCCGCTTTCTCCGCAGACTTGGATGCTAACGTGTAAGCTTCCTGCATTGTCCCATTTGCCGCTGTTAAATTCAGATCAGAATTCGCACCAAGCAATTCACTAATATCACGTATTTTCAAATCAGAAAAATTGTCAGACAGTACCTGTTCCGGGAAAATGGAGACCTGAGCTCCAGTGTCACATAACGCTTCCATGTCAACATCATTTACAAGATATCGAACAGAGCATATTAATATCTATTTGTTCTGATGTGTATCTTCTTTTATAACAACGAGTTTTCAATTTCAGTTCAATTTTGAATAGTTGTTAATTAATTCCGGTGGTGATGCAGCAATAACTGATAAGCCATAGGTAAGTTGTGACAGGACCAATGACATAAAAAGAAGATCTAACTCGTCTTCACTGCATCCTTCATTCCTTAGCTTTCGAATTACAAACAAACATTTATTTGCATTCAAATTACAAACAAGCATTTAATTGGTGATTGAACTGGGATTTCCATCAGCGTTGATCTGGAATAAGGGGTGTATGCTTGGCGAGTTGGAAACGGCGGTTGAACTGGGAATTTCGGTCTGAGACGGTGGGTAAGGTAAGGGGGTTAGTTGTTGTAGTGGCACTGTCAACGTCTGTGTGATCTTGTGGGGATCTCCGTCAGGGCTGCATATACGGGTAAATCATGGGAGGGTGACAAATTGGGTATTTCATCGCTGGTGGAAGGATTAGATTAGATAAGGATAACGAGTTCGTTTGTAAAAAGGGGATGACAAGTCTTGTTGATAAAATTGAAGGTGTTGTGGTGGGCTGGTTTTATGGGAAAAATCACAATCGAATCCCTTTAAACAATGTCCTTTCCTGCGCAGGAAGTGACATGGCACCAGATGTTTTGGAGTTGGAGTATTATAAACAGGGACGCCGGAACTGGGGAGCAGGAGGGGCAGCCGCCCCCGTTGCCCTTTACCAGGAGGGGCAAAGGTGCCCTTTCAATTTAAAGGATTGCCTTAGCGAAATAGCGATTGTCAGAATATTAGTGCAATAGACCTTTCTTATAATTATGGCGTCAGCGTGCATAAGCTATTTTGTGACGTCAAACGCGGATAAACACTTCGTCTTCGATTTTTTTGTTTGTTTTGTTTTGAAAGTTTTTCTCCAGGAAAACCCCACAAAAGCGGTAGGTTTTGCTAATTTTATTTATTAAAATCAATTAGTAGGTAAGACGTGATGTTTTCAATAAATGTTGATAAAATTTAGTGTATATTTCCCTTTTGAATGTTGTCAAAGTTATAATGTATCTCTTTAGTACAAGTTGTACAGTATAAAAATGTACTTTTATTGCCTTCAATATCAAAACCCTATTTTCTTACACGTGGTCTCTTTCTGATACCTAAATATATATTACATCACGTGACATGACGTGACTACATTACATCCCTTCTTTTCTTTAAAATAACTCATTAATGTTAATTGCTGTGTATTGAATATTACCTTATAAAGTCTATAATAAACTAAAGTCTAAAAGTCTCCTTATAAACTAGTTTTAACATGTCTAACTTCTATAAAAGTCCGGTGGTCTTCGATTTTGTCTAAGACAATACCTTCGTTGTAGATCTGGTAGATCTTGTTGTTGCTCTTCAACTATTGTTGGTTGCTGGTTTTCTACTATGCCGTCGTCAAAATCGTCTTCTTCATCATTCTGGTCTTCCTCACTTGCGTTCTTGTAATTTGTGAGACATTTGAAACACGATACATTCCGGGTTACGGTGCGCTCTGTATTACTAGCTGTTACCATGTTGCCTTTGATTTCAATCACTTTAAATGGTTTTGGATTGAAAGGCATTGATAACTTATTGTCCTTCGGGACTTGCATTAGCACGTAATCACCAACTTTCAACTGACTTTCTTTCGCGTTGTTTCTTCTATCAGCATGGACTTTCATTTTCTCCTTTTCCTCCTTATCGCGAACAACGTGGTGTTCCACAGGGCCATCATTGTGTTGTAGGGATGAGAAACTAGGAAGCTTATTTCTAATTGAGCGATTGAACAAAAGTTCAGCTGGACTAGTGTGTGTCGTAGAATGAGGTGTGGATCTGTAGTTGAGAAGAAAAAGATCTAATTCACTTTGCCATCTTTTTCCTTCTGAATGAGCAGTACGGATTGCTTTTGTTACTGTTTTCATGAATCGCTCTGCCTCACCGTTGGCTTGAGGCCAATAAGGTGTGATTCGGCGGTGATGGACTCCATGTGCAGCTAGATATTCGGTGAACTCAACCGCATTGAACGGGGGTCCGTTATCAGTTATCAATTCTTCGGGATATCCATGTCGGGCAAAGATTCTTTGGAGTTTGGAGATCACAACCGTGGTTGCTTTGCATCACTTCAACTTCTGGATATCTGGAATAGGCGTCAATCACGACCAACAATTTCTCGCCATTTGGGAATGGACCACAGAAATCTGCATTAAGTGTGTGCCAAGGATGTGGAGGTAACTTTGTCATATTCAGGGGTGGTTGACATTTTGGTGACTGGTGTACTGCTGCTTGGCAGGGTACACATTCTTTAACCATTTGCTCCACTTGCTTGTCAATACCAGGCCACCATACTTTACTGCGTACAAGCATTTTAGTTTTAACTATCCCTTGATGTCCTTCATGAGCGATAGAAAGGACACGACTACGGAGACTCTTTGGGATAACGATTTGTGAATTTCGTAGTATAACTCCACATTCCGAAACTGTCAACTGTTCGTGCTGATTACGATATGGGCTTAAACAACTATCTGTTTTGTTCCATCGATCTTCCTTTACTGCGCTAGTTACTCTCTGCAGTTCAGGATCATTTAACGTTGCGATACGAATCTCATCGAGCGTGAGAGATTTAGGAACCGAGTGACTTTGGATGAAATTGACATATTTCTCCGCTATGGTACTTGACTTGTAGTTGGTGAATAAAGGTTGTCGAGACAACACGTCAGCTGGGTTGCTGCTACCTGGTCGATACTTGATATTAAACTTGTATTGTTGCAATCGTAGTAACCAACGTTCTATCCGGAGTGGCGGTTTGGACTTTGGGCTGTAAATGACTTCCAATAGTTTGTGGTCAGTGATGAGGTCAAATTGTGTTCCAACAAGATAAAGATGAAAACGCTCACAACCCCACACTGCAGCCAATGCTTCTTTTTCGGTCTGCGAGTGGCGAGCTTCCACAGGCGTTAGGGAACGACTAGCATACGCTATGCAGCGATCTTGCCCATTTTCTTGTGTTTGGGCTAATACTGCACCAAGTCCGACAGGACTTGCATCCACTGTCAATTTTGTAGGTCGATTTGGATCATAAAATGCCATCGTACAGTCCGAAGCAATAGCATTTTTAACTTTGATAAAAGCTTTCTCATGCATAGTTGACCAAGACCATTTACACGATTTGGTTGTTAATTCACGTAGAGGGGCTGTTAGAGTGGAGAAGTCCTTAATAAATCGTGAACAGTAATTGGCCAGACCTAAGAAACTGCGTAGTTGGCTGACATCTGCTGGTGTTTTGAAATTTTTAATTGCCTCGACTTTCTTTGGATCTGCTGACAGTCCGTCCTTTGACAGAATGTAGCCATAGAACCAAAGTGACGGTTGATTAACCTTGCATTTCTCCAGGTTTAATGTAAGTTTCTTGACAACTAATCGCTGTAACAGTGCTTCTAAATTCTTGTCATGCTGGGTTTGGGTTTTACCCCATACAATAATATCGTCTGCGATATTTCGTACCCCGTGTAGACCTTGGAGCGCTTGCTGTATTGCATTTTGGAATACTTCTGAAACATGACAGACCAAATGGCAGGCGTTTATACCGAAACAACCCCTTGTGTGTGCAAAAAGTGGTAATGTTACGCGAGTTCTCTTCTAGGACTATCTGATGGTATCCTGCTTTGAGGTCTAGCTTAGAAAACACGACAGCGCCAGACATTTCTTCCATTAACTCATCAACTGTTGGGATTGGATGTCTCTCCCTTAACAATGCCTGATTTGGTCTACGGTAATCTCCGCATAATCTGATTTCATCTGAATTGTGTGGTTTGGGAGCAGCTACTATGGGTGATACCCATGAAGTAGGTCCTTCGGCAGGTTCAATAATATCGAGACTTTGTAATTCTTCTAGTTTATCTGAAAC